ACGAGCGTGGAGCCCTCACGGAAGCCAGAAAGATCAGAAAGCAGAAGCACACTCGATGTGGAGATCGGTATCTAAACGGACATTAGCAGATTCCAGCAGAAAGAAACAAATGAGTCTCCTTACATCCTTGCCTTCAATAAGCTTCTTGGCTTTGTCCTCCCATTCAACTTTCTGCGCGGCATCTTTCTGTCGACTTGCAGTATCCAAGTACATTTCAAACAGAGTCGTGTAGAGATCTATCTTATCATCCTCTTTTAAGTTATCCTGCTGAATGAGAGCTTCTAGGAAGGAGATGAACTCATCCGGATGGCCCACGAACGCCGAAAACGCTGTTCTTGGTTTGGGTATCTGATACTCCACAAACTCCTCGGTAGCCTTGTCTTCGACGGGCGGTGCTTCTACTTCCGGTTTTGAGCCCGCGCTAGCGTTGATCAAAGACAAGGGGAGGAAAGCAGCTAAGCTCTGCAAAGTACTGGTCGGCTGTGCTTGGGGTTCCATGGACGGCGCTTCGACCTCGGTCTTCGGAATATATTGGCCCTTATAGTACTTGATGAAAAGCTCTGTGGTTTTCTCAGAGCAGTTGGATAGCAGTACTCGGGCATATTTCATTAGATTGTGGTAGGCCTGGACTTGTCAGTGATCAAAGTAGGGTCGAATCGATGAGAGTGCACGAACCAATTCCGGGTCTAACCTCCAGATATACTCGACAGCTTCCGCATACTTCTTGGAGTCCTCGATCAGGATATCCACCACCATATCATTCTCGCCATACTTTGTAGCCAAGTACGCCGCTTGCTCATAGTAGCCACCTTGCCTACACATAGCGATTGCAGTTTCCAGATCAAACTTCAGCTCACCAGGAGCTTTGATGAACGCATCAAGTTTGCCGGTATCCTTCAACTTTGCGTAACAGTTGAGGAGCAGGGTGGTGTGATCTACTGTGGCCCGATCATGATCGTGAAGCTCTTCAAGGTACTCGATGAGATTATGTATCCGTTGTGTGTCCAGGTACTATGCAATCATTAGCGACATTTCCCTCTAGTAATAATGCAGAATATCCAACCTTGCGAATGACCTGAGAAGGTTCCGTGTTATCGATCGCTCGAAGGTATTGTTGCATGGCCGTGTCGTAGTCGCCTCTTTGATACAAGAAATCACCGTATTTCCGGTAGATCGCATTTTGCTGCAGAGTATCAACGCCGGTCTTCTGTGCTAAGTTGATCGCTAAGATGTATAGGTTGCGCTGGTACAGAATTTCGAGCTTCTGCTGGAGGCTTTTCTCACGATACCGATACAGCTGATTCGTGTGAGCCATAGCGATGACACTCAATGATATGAACATACCTTTCCATCCGTAGTGAGGAGAAACAAATCGCCCCATTCAACGAAGATGTTCTTCACGGAAGAGACGAGGGACTCGGAGTGCGCGATGAACTTCAAATCAGTATCGAGCAGGGTGAATGTGGTTGTCTTGAAGATGTCGTCTGCCTGCCCGACGCCAATGTTTCGCAGAGTGTCGGGCTTGCTGGTCGTATCCCTAGGTGGGCAAACCAGAGCCACGTAGTCCTTGAAAGTCGTGACGGAGTCTTTACGACTCTCAAAGGCGTAGCTCGGGCCCCGGCCATGTGGTCCGTACGTATATATCGCATCCTCCCGGGCAACAAGAACATCGCCCGTGTCTCTATCCAAGCTTAGGCAGCCAACAGCACATCCCATATCATCGAGTACGCGAGCCGGTTGTCCCTGTCCCCTTCCAGAGATAATCAGGGCCAGGATGCGATTCGTAGTCGAAATATACAAGGTCGATACGGGGCCACTCTGCACCTCTAGTCCCGTGATTGGCTCCTCCGATTCAAACACAATCCGCTGTCGGGCGCCGCGGTCGTGGATCAGATCACCACGAATAATCGTAACGGATCCGTTCGCGAAACCAACTGCCACCTGCGACAAATCATCGAGCGCCGCGAAAGCAGATATCTGCCCCGCAGTCATTTAGTACCAAGCCGACAAAGAGGGTAGCGCATTTCGAGCTATTATACGTACGGGAAACATCCGTCTGGCGTTCTGGACATGGGTTGTCGATAGGCATCGAGGGGCACCGGTTTTCTTTTCGGACTTGTCGAGGGCCCAGACCTTCAGAGCTGCCTCACTGGGGAGATCCTCCGCTATTGTTACCAACAATGAGGTCCCTTCTATCTGCTTGATGTGCGCGATCGATCCAGTCTCCGATGCCCTGAATGACCGGACAAGCTTGAAGTTCGTCGAGATGATATGGACAAAGCCATCGCTGGAGCCGAGGAAGATGTTCGCAGAGCCGGTGGAGAGGGAGATAATGTCAGACTATGGTAATTCCGAGGTTGAGTGTGAGCGCGACCGACATGTGTAGTGGAGAGGGCAAGGGAGGGGGTACATTGAAGATCGAGGAGCTCTCCTCCGGCTGCTTCACTGCGGAGACGTCGAAGAAGTTGAACGCTTTCCACTAGTTCCACGTGAGTCGGGTTAGTTGTGACCCAATCGCATTCAGCATAGAATGGTGTTTCCTTACTGATGTCAACGCCATCTGGACGTGGCCCACCCGTGGACCAACGACAACGATAGCAAGGATGCGATGAGAAGCAAGCTGCGGTGACCGTTCGGCGGAGATGCTGGCAGTGGATGAACTCCGCCGCACTAGCGCCGCCTTAGTGTCCCCGACTCCCCTAGGCCTCCCGACGTCATCAGATCTATCTAGTATGAAAATAATCTATCAATTCAGCAGATTTCACAAACGCTTCTTGATAAATTAAACCTGAGACTTTTAATTGTGATTTCTCCAAAGGGCCATGAAATAAGAGCGACTAGTCCGATTTTTCGAAAAGAAAAAAGAAAAAATTAGTTAGGATGCCAGACAGTATACATACCACCAGATGGAGTTTTGAAGTACGCAACATTCAACTCAACTGAACAAATGGGGCCGAGTCAACTAAAGTGCAAACTGTCTTTGAGCACTTTCCACAACTAATCTTCGGTCCCGCTCAGAACCCCGAGTCTTCCCCAGTTCTGGATGGGAGAACATCGAACCTTCTTTCCTGGTTGAAGAAGAAAATATTCCAACTTTTAAACCCAAAAACCTCTATCCAATTCGTATTGGTGAAGTTTTTCATCATCGGTATCAGGTGGTTGGCAAGCTTGGCTAAGAATCAACTGCGACTGTGTGGTTATGCCGTGATCTACTGTAGGCCTACTGATTTATCATTTCTTGAACTTAATCTCATCAGGATAGGAGTCATTGTTATGTAGTACTAAAAGTTTACATCATCTCAACATCTGTCTCTCAGGAGATTGAGATTTACAACCACCTAAAAACAATACACTCCGATCACGCAGGCCAGTCATGTCTGCGATCGTTGATTGACACCTTTCAGGTTCGGAATCCTGATGGGCATAGATATCATACATGCCTGGTGCATCCGCCACTGGGCATAAGTCTCGACCAGCTCACACCACTCCTCCCTGGTAAGGTCATGAGCAGCTCTATGGTGAGAACAACTATGCGGAATATCCTCGCGGTTTCTAGACTTCCTTCATACCGAAGCACAAGTCATACATACAGGTTAGTCACTCAGTTTCTCACGCGAGACATTGACCTGTTACGGTTAGACTTGCTCTTGGGCAAGATTGACTGGTTCTGCAGACATCCAACCAAATAATATTCTTCTTGGTATCAAAGATACTTCAATCTTATCGCGTTTTGAAGAAGCGGAGGTTGAAGGTGTCTTTCAGATCATACAATCTACGTCTCACGACCGCTCCCTATTTCCTTTGGCACCCCTGTGCTCCGTGACTTGGGCGAGGGTCGATTGGGGGTAAAAAATCACAAGGGTGATATCATGCCTGATATCTATCGCGCACCGGAAGTCATCCTGAATATGAAGTGGGACAACAAAGTTGACATTTGGAACGTTGCAATGGTGGTAAGTGACTTGTTAGCTAGGTACCGGCTTTTGTTGAAAGGCTCACAGTAGCCGAAGATTTGGGATCTTTTCGAGCATCGTCACCTTTTCAAGGCCCGATATGATGAGGGAAAGCTGGATGATGGACAGCATTTAGCAGAAATGCAAGCTGTTCTAGGAAGGCCACCTGCAAAGTTTCTCGCTCGAAGCGCGAGGTCACCCCAATTCTGGCATGCCAACGGTTTGTACAACCCTCCCATGCCCGAAGCCGTCATGTAAGTGCACTAGAAGTAGTAACTCCGTTTTTTCTGCTGGGCCAATGGAAAGGCGCCGTCGCTATTCCAGACTATGACCTCGAAGGTCTGGAAGAAAGACTTGAAGACGGCGAAAAGGAGGACTTTTTGCGATTCCTCAGACGCATGCTTTGCTGGTTTCCGGAAGAAGGAGCAACAGCGAAGGAGCTTTTGTTTGATCCCTGGTTGATGCATGTTCTCTTCAACTGAAACGTTTCAACCTATCCTTTGTCTTCTTGACTTTTGTACATTTTAGCAATTGAGAGAATCATGACACTTTGTGTACGGAATCAAACTACCTGATGTTCTGCTCGTTACATAGTATCTGCCCGGTCATGCTTGCCGAAATTCGGAATCTGCCATTAAATAGCACTGTTAGGATCATAACCCTCTTGGATTGTGCCCCTGGTGCATTAATAACATCAGTGTTGTGGTTCTCTATAGAAGGCACTCCCCGCTACTATGGTTTCCGTTCGGAAAGAATAAAATATCTGCTACAGGGCCGTCTCCACTACACACCTTTTCAATGCGGGAGATACCAGTCAAATTGATCATGTGGGTGAACAGTATCTTTGCTACTGAATTTCACAGCCGAGCCTATATATGCTAGCAGTGAATAGTTCCGATGCAGAATTCGCAGAGTGGCCCTCACCTATTTGTCAAAAACAATATAAGACAACCGCCACGCTGCACATACAAATTGACGCCGCCCACTGACAACTAACTACCTATTCAAAAAGGTCAAATATCTGCTCCAATCGATAGTACTTGCACAATGTCTTCAAATAACGGTATGATTCGCCAAGTTCTTGACAAACTCTATGGACATGTTCTGGAAATCATAGATAGTGTGCCTGATGACGGCCACATAGATCTCCATGGCCTCGAAAATGTTGAACATGTGATGGACTTCGATTTCGAGCACTTGGAGGAAGGACTGGTCCCTCCACTCTACTTTGAACCGATGCAGTCCGCTGACTTGAAAATGTTCCCACCTGACCCTATCCATGTGCGCCGCATGTTCAATATAGACGAGGAGCAGACCCACGATGGCTTTCTAGTATCGACTTCCTCCCGTTGCCGTCAGATTTCAAAGGTCATTTCAATCCATGCAACTGGAAAAGCAATGTCTCATCAAAACCTCCAGGTTGTTGTGTAAGTTTATCTTGAATGCATTCTTTATAGCGGATGATGATCCTCCTCTCTTACAAGATATTCATAATATATCAGGCAGCCTGACAGTACCTTTTTTCTGGAAGCGAACCTCGTAAGACCTTACGGCAGAACAGGTTGGTGGAGAAATTATCTTGCGGTAGAGCCAAAGCCTGTTGATGGGAATGAATACCCCCATATCGCCCTCCACCTTGTTGTTAAAATGGAGGCTCGCGAAAACTCAATCCTCTTTTCTGAATTTAGTACATTGGTTAAAGCCATCCGAGGTCGCGCACAACAACCAAGGATCGATTCAGAGTCAAAACGGATGGAATCTTATAATCGAGACGAGGCCGGAGAGGATTACAGAGACATCTTACCCCAGCCGTGGTCACTCACGTTCCCTGATGAGCAAACCTTCCCTGTACTGCTCATTTCATGTGTCCTTCCACAGCATGCCAGGATCTTCGCTGCATGTATGTATCAAGGAAAGCTGGTTATTAGACAGTCGAAGCTTTATAGCTTTGAATGGAGAGATAAGGCACCGGTTGAGTTGTTTACTCGGGTTTTTCTCAGTAAGCCGGTGGATACCAGCGGCGAGACTGATCTTTATTAGGGATTTGCTGCGCTGGAGTAAATACCTTTCCTGTGAAAGGTAATGGATCGCCCTCGCCTTTGTCTGTTTTACTTACAAGAATTGGAAGACTTGGCTCTTTCACAGATTAAGAATCGATCATACTGACTTTAAATTTGTTGTTTTAGACTGTAAACATAGGTTTTTAGTAGCCGTAGGTTTATCCTCTGTGTTCTATTTATGCACAAGCGAAACATGTGATTATCCATTTGGGAAATCATTTATGTACCTAGTATATACAAGAATATCAATTGCGCTGCCCCAAGTAGAATGAAAACTGCCCAAACTGAAGCGACCTAGTGCATCGCTAGGACATAAAGGCATGTAACAAAAGAAACCACAAAGACTTATATATATACCCACCCCTTACTAAATAATAGAATAATGGAAACCAAATCCCAATACGCCTGCTATGCATGTAATAAACCCCGTCTTTCACCTATCCAACGTTACTGCTGAGCGACTAATTCCCGCCGAAGACGACGGCCTCGACTTGGCGCTGCTCCTGCATTGTTGGATTTCATTGTTAATATCAAAGCTCTGCTGTAACCAGCTCCCCGCGTCGGCAATGGCCTGGCTTAGGTTGAAGCTGTCCGGGCCAGGGGCGACACCTTGGCCGTCTTGGATGGTGGTAGGATGGGAGTTTGACAAAGCCATTGGCAATGCACTGCCTTGTTGGGTGTCGTCTGGGGTTTGTTGTTGGGCAGCAGGGGATTTGAGCGGGAGGATAGTTGGGTCTTCGTCTTCCTCTTCATCCTCGTCCTCGTCTTCCAGTTCCGAGGACAATGGTGAGCCTGTGTTAGGGGTGGCAGTCCCCCGATCTATCCTGCTAGATGATGGCATCTGGGGAGATATAAATCGGGACCTGGCTTTCTTTTCTGTGCTAAAGGTGAAGGGCGTGACGGCGTCGATGATGCATTGAGTGCTCATTGGCATATGTGCAGTTCCTGGAGGTCTGGCTCTGGAGTATTTACCCACTCTACTGGTGTTCAATCGATGGAAGGGGGTAATGTCGTTGGCGGGTGATGAAGGTTGGTTGTGAGTTTCTCCTGGATTGGGAACTTGACTCTCCAGATCATTTTGGAAGGATTTCTGCGCGTGCAATAGCGCTGCCTGTGTGTTAAATTGTGGGTCCGGAATGGTGTCGTTATCGCATTCTGAATTGGGCTTCGCCGCGGAGATCGTTTGCAGTGAGGTGACATTTTCAGCCAGAGCTGGATTCACAGGCACTCGCTGGGCAGAGGGGTATTTATCGCTGATATTGACACCTTCAGCAGTGGTGGTTGATGATACTTTCCGTGACCGAGAATCTCCCTGATGATCAGCAGTACCAGAACGTTCGGATACGTTTGGATTGTGCGATTTGTCTTCGGTCATATGCACATCGGCTTCAACGGCCTGCGTTGAAGTTCTGCTTGGAGGTACTGGTGCGGATTGACTTGAGACGCGGCTGTCTTCGACAACAGTTGTCTGGTGAGAGATCTGTTCATTATCTGCGTGCACCGGGACTGGCGAGGTGGTGCCATGTTCCGGATCAGCGGAGCGTTTCCTACGACGAAATTCAAACTTCGATAGGTGGGAAGTTGACGAAAGTACACAAATGGAGTTCTCAAGATCCTCCGTCTCTAGTCGGACTCCAGGATGTCTGTTGGTGAATTGGGCTTTGACACTGTCCGGTACACGACTGTCAAAGGTAGTCTCGTCTCGAGAGCCTGTACGTGCTCTTATTAGATTCTTTGTTGTGACTCGATAATCTGTGCCTGGAACTTGTATTGTGTAATGCCCTCCTTCCCGATATCGAGATGTTATCGTAGTTGTAGGAGAGGTGGGTGGATCGACTTTACGGAAGTTGATTTCTGCACGGTCCCTCTTCAGCCAGCTTTGCTCTGTATGCTGGAATGGAGTCAACGCATCCGAGTGTCCACTTGTCTCAATTCTCCTCTTGTGTAGTACGACAGGCTTTGGTGTATTGTTCGAGCTTGATGTCCGACCACGGCTATTTCGTGGCCGTTTGGACGACGGTTCCCCCGTAGTGCCACCTTGAGACTCTCTTTTCTTCGTGGAATATGATGGGTCGGAAAGAGGAACAGCAGACTTCGAGCGAGATATGCCTAGCGATTCGCGGTATAGGGGCCGTTTCTGCGGAACTGTCTCTGGGATGATAGGTCTTTCCGGATGTTCTGAATGCTTCCCTCCTGTCCGTACATGGCCACCGGTCTTTTGTCTGTCTTTCTTCCAGGGGTTAGTCCATCCGTTGTCGAAGGGTCCGCGAAGTGAAGCGGACAAGATGAAAAGTGGGGTGCCATGACAATAGGCCTGGGCCAGCTTCTCTATGCGCTGATCCCGAGCAGCCCGGTCGCCTTCATCTAGATCATCGTCGGAAGCGATAAGGGGATCGGAGTCGAGGACTGGCGGGGAAGGCGAGATTGTTTCCAAGGAGAGCGGGGAAGCGGGTTGACGGAGTGGCATCGGGAAGACAGCGGTGATGGATCGGGGAAGAGGAGGGTGAGGATTCCAGGGGTGCAGCAGTCGGGGGCTGACTGCATCTGAGCTCGAGCAAAGAGGAATGTGGCGGATAGATCCTCATATCTTCTGGAGCAGGCAGATGTCAAATGTCAGGCATCATCAGCAGCAGCATCGTGCATGATCCAAGTTGGACCGATGCGGTCAAGATCGATTCGCGGGCGAAAACCACTTAACGCGTCCACCGGCGCGGCTACCCCAGCAACGGAGGTTCTTCTTTTCGGTAAGCCCCGGGTCACTTTTATCATTGACTGGACTTTATAAGAAGTTTGGCTGGCTACAGATGATATACAATTCATGGTTCGGTTCGATTTACAAGCCAGTGCGACTGAAACAAATGGTTGACCCCCTTAGCAACTTATTACTTGCTTACCATCTTCGATAGGGAAAGTGATCTCCACTCCTGTCTAATATTGAGGCTAGTCTGGCATGCGACTGCAGAATTCATCGCCGCAGTTGCAGATCTCAGTATAGTGGATGCAGTATACCGAGGCTGACAATGGTTCTCGGTGACAACTTGGAGATGCAATTCGCTGTTCGCTGTCGCCGACAAGGCTGGTTACTACTCCCTGGATTTAGAGGCTGGGGACGAAAGATGGGAACATTGTAAGTAACCACGCCGTTATGAACAGGCTCACAGGCTCCAGAATAGAGGAGAAGGCTGACTATGCGAGCCAAGCTGGAATTGGTATGGTTCTCGTAGACTTTCGATTACGGAGGATTTATCCGCTCTAGACCGGCAGAGGCGATCGTGAGTTCTGCTTAATTTTGTGTTGTATACCTCAAGTCACTCGCAGTGAGGCTTAGACAGTGTTCTTTGTATGTCATCGTGGCCTTTCTCCCTGGAGGACACGTACATTCATCTCCTCAACCCCAGCCCATTGGTGAAACTACACCGTACTCATCGCAAGGTCTTCCAGTTCGGGCCAGCCAAAGGATTTGGCGAGAATGCGACTCCGCACGGAGCAAGGGTGTGGCGGTGGTAGCTTATGCTGGAACTGAAAAAGCCCCCCTATTAAGGGACATTTTAGTTGCACGGGGATCGGGGGCTAGTACAACAAACAAATCTTGTCCTCAGATCCAAGGTAGCCTCGATGGGGTCGAAAATCCTCGAATTGGTCCCCAATTCGGTCGTATTCGTTCCGTTGCCCAGACTAGAGGATACTCCAGTGTTGGGAGTATCCCAACTCTAGTAATCATTAAAACACTAACACATCCGATTTGTGTGTATGTGCGTTATTATGCAAATGCGATCATAAAATAGTGAAGGCTTATGATTTGCAAGCTAAGATGAGAAAAGGATGATTTGGGGATGGTCCGGCAAAGCCGACGATCATCCATGGGCTGGTTGGGAGGAAAAGAGAGGAGCCGGTGGAGAAACAAGAAGAAAAAAAAAGTAAGAAAGAAAAGAGGGAACCCCTGGCCAACAGAAAGTGGATCCTTCGCACGACTGACATCAAGCCGCTCAACTCTCTCTCTCACTCTCTCTCTCCTCGCTGTCGCTCTCCAGCCTGTCATTTTTTCCCCTTCCCCCGTCCGATTTCTCACTTCTTTTTCTTCTCTATTTATTCGCTTCGTTATCTTCCTTTTTTTTGTAATACTATTTGTCTTGGGGTTTTATTCGAGTCCTTCCCTATTAAACCCGTCCGATCCTAGTTCAGATCGATCGCCGAGGTTCTTCTACTCTCGATCCTCGTTTCGCCCATTCCGCTCCGCTCGGTATCTTGTCCCGTCTTCTCTCTTCCCCTCCCTCGCTCTAATCGATGAATAGTGAGAACAGCGACTACTCGATCGTCGAGAATAATCAACAGAATATTCGGACGCTACAATCATGGCTCGTGTACGGAGAAGGTCCAGTAACCTGGGGGCGGATATTCGGGGAGACACCACCGCTCCCGCCATGTCCACCATGAACGAAGTCAGCCCCATTGAAACCGAAGCGCCTCAATGGGACAAGGTATGAATCTCTCACGACTCGAAGTCGACTTTCGCTGGGGTTCTCCATCCCCCCGCTCACTCCTCCCTCAGGTCGTGCAAAATCAGTCCGCCGAGAAGCTCTCCAAGCCGCATACGAAGCGCCGCAAGAAGTCCCCGCTCCGTCGCTTCAAGGATGCGTGTCTCAAGCATACTTGGCTTCTGCCCCTCCTCATGCTCATTGTCCTTCTGTCGCTCTACGCCATCAACCCGACCGAGTCCAACCCCATGCATAGCGCCATCTTCTTGTCTTATCCTCTGCCTCCGAAGGTCCCCGGTGGTCCGATCATGTATGGAAAGGGTCCCAAGGATATTACTTTTGTTTCGTTCTACACGATTGTTCTGTCATTTACTCGGGAATTCCTGATGCAGCGCCTGATCCGGCCTTTCGCCGTCTACTGTGGAATTCGGGGCCGGGGTAAGACTGCTCGATTCATGGAGCAAGTCTACACTGCGATCTACTTTGGCATCTTCGGTCCATTTGGTCTGTACGTCATGAGCCGGTCGGATATCTGGTATTTCAACACTACCGCCATGTTCGAAGGGTTCCCCCACCGGGAGCACGAAGGGTTGTTCAAGGCATTCTATCTGCTTGAGGCTAGTTACTGGGCCCAGCAGGCAATTGTCCTGATGCTGCAGCTGGAGAAGCCGCGTAAGGATTTCAAGGAGCTGGTGGGACACCACATCATCACTCTGGCTTTGATCGGATTGAGTTACCGCTTCCACTTCACCTACATGGGTATCGCCGTCTACATCACGCACGACATCTCGGACTTCTTCCTTGCTGTGAGTAAACGAAATCGGAGTCTACCATTTTTCTTTTCTTTATGCTGATCGAGCTGCCATGCAGACCTCCAAGACCTTGAACTACCTCGACCACATCATCACTGTCCCTTACTTTGGTATGTTTGTGGGGATGTGGATCTACCTTCGCCATTATCTGAACCTCAAGATCCTCTGGGCGGTGTTGACCGAGTTCCGCACGGTTGGACCTTTCGAGCTGAACTGGGAGACTCAACAGTACAAGTGCTGGATCAGTCAGTACATTACTTTTGCCTTGTTGGCCAGTCTGCAAGCCGTGAACCTCTTCTGGCTTTTCCTGATCCTGCGCATCCTGAAGAACTACATCTTCACCAACGTCAAGAAGGACGAGAGAAGCGAAGACGAAGACTCGGAGGAGGAGGAAGTCCCTGTGCCGGACACGAACACTCACGCCACCCTTGCTACCGGCGTTGAGGGAACCACCGTGACTGCACGTGGCAAGGAGAACCAGACTCCGCAGGTGCTGATCAACGGCAAGCCCGTCAACTCCAAGAACTGAACTATCATTTCTGGAGTATCTCCATTCCTGTGGAGATTTATGTATCTCCAATCCACAATCCACTACTCACGTGGACTGTATGAACTTTTCTCATGGGGTTTGTTTATATTGTATGAACGGGAACATTTACGACAGCTTTGTTTGGACCTTGTTCAAGACAGAATTTTAACATCTTCTTTCCCCTTTATTACGGAGTATCTATTTTATTACATTTTTTGTCCGGTGCTTATGTCTACTCGGCATTTTATGTATTCATTTTCATCCTTGTTGTTTTATCTTTCCCTTTCCTATTTTAGTCATTCATATGAAAGCATCATGCCCAAGGCTGCAAGCATAGCCAGGAGTGAGACGGGTCAGGATGGACATTATAAAGTTAACGAGTGTTTCTCATCATCGAACCATGATTGAGTGGGGTTCTGCAGGCCCCTACCACTCCATGGACATAATATCATAATAATAGATCATTGTGCTGATTTCCCGACAAAAAAAAAAAGAATCAACAGCTTCCTCTCTTCACAGTAAATATAATACAACTGATTATATCAACAGTAGTAACCCTTTGAACCAGCCCCCTCCCACCCACCCACCATCCATCCATAGATAGATACATAGATACATACTACATCATGCATACATACATGCATGCATACAGGATAAATAAGTAAACTAATTCAACCAACCACGTACATACGTACGTACATATACTCCGTAGTACTCCATGCATACATGCTATATGACCAGTCACACGCACACATATCATAAAAGTACTTACTACTTTGTACCTCCTAAGCCACTAAGTACCCCCCAGCCCATTCTTAATACTACCCAAAGTAGTGTCGTGCAGCAGCAGTGCACGTCCCCCTTTCCCTTCCCTTCCCCGCCCCCCACCCCCCGGGCCTTCAATATGATGACATCAAATTTCGACTCGAGTTATTCGTTTAACTAAGTATATACATGTATTAAGAACTTAGACTTGACTATATACATGTCACTTTTTGCTGGTATATCTGTACTAACTAGGAAGCGATAATTAGTATCTTACAAGTCTTGTGTTTTGGTTAGTATCCGTGATTCTGTTTTGTTCCTCACTACTAATATTCGTGGTACATCACTATTACTACTACCACTACCACTACTGCTGCTGCTGCGGGTTTACAGTTTGGGGATGAGAAGAGACGAGAGCAAAAAAAAAGCTGGAGTTTAGGGAGGGATGGAGGGATGGTAAAGTATCTGGTATACTGTCCATGAGCCACATAAGGCGCTACCTACTAACCTAACTTACTATACAGGCAATGGGTGCTTCTCCTACAAGAACGATAGAATGCAAATAGTAACGGCACTTTTCATTTACCCAATAAACAGATCCCAAAATATTGTATCCAGGTTGATCCATCAGTCATCGCCCAGCAGTGCTGATAGCCTGAAAATTTTGTTAGATTAGCCAATACAGTACAAAATGGTATGGTATGGTACGGTGGTATCGAATGCTCTATTCATAAACTGAGGTAGTATGTTCCCATCGTAAGCGTCATGAGAAGCGAAGATCATGAGTCTTGCATATTGTAGTCTTGGAAACCAATCCACTTTACGGGATTGGTTCTCTGTTCTTGAGCACCTGGGCTCGTCACGTCGACTGCCCTAGAACGTACTGCTTTGCGGCGTGATGGGCAGGTTGGTTCAACGCGATAGCGGTGTCAGTAATGCTCGGTTTATTGTCCGGAGTCAGACTTTAGTCGGCCGTCTGAGAACACTCAAAAGGTGTGCGCGTGAAGCACGTCAGAGGTCGCTGGTACTATGGCACATCTGGGACAGTTGCTTGTAGTCCAGCAATTGCTGAGAGAATAAGAGAGGGCAAGCTTGTCAGGCCATCATGTCCCCATCCACTTCCAAAGCAAACGCATTAATTGTTTCTGATGGATTGGTTTCCCGATATGGTCGCTCATTCCCTGCTTCATGTAATGCTCTATGTCTCCTGGCATAACGTTCCCTGTAAGCGCAATGATGGGCATCTCTAGTTCCATTTGCCGTATCTGGCGTGTCGCCTGTACACCATCCAGCACCGGCATGCCGATATCCATAAGAATGGTATTGTAGGATAAAGGCTGCTGCTTGACCAGTCGAACCGCCTCTGCTCCATCCCATGCTGTATCAATCCGCGCGAAGCCCATATTCTGGAGAAGCTTGAGCATCATCATCTGGTTAACCAAGTTATCCTCAACCAGCAGAACGTGTTTGTGAGGAGCAATGTCATGGATCTTTCGTTCGATATCACCGACGTCTTCAACGGGTGTCCCAGTCGTTCTAGCGGGCGGCGTCACGCTCACCCGATGCATCTTGGCTGTGACCCAGAAGACACTGCCATTTCTCTCTGGATTGGGCCGGTATCCGACACTGCCATCCATAAGTTCGGCCAAACTTTTGCAGATCGATAAGCCGAGACCCGTCCCTTGATATCTCTTCGAACCAGACTCGGCGAAGCGGGTGAATGGTGTGAACAACGAGCCAAGAGCATCTTCGGGAACACCAACTCCCGTATCCGCAACCTCGGTCCGGATGTTATATACACTGGGATCCTCCGCATCTTCGGAGAAAGTGGTGTTAATCTTGACGTAGCCCTCCTCGGTGAACTTGACTGCATTGCTGATAAGATTCTGGAGGACCTGACGATACCGCAACGGATCACCCTCGACCTGGGACGGAAAGTTGGGTGAGATGAAGCTGGTCAGTTGAACGCCGGGTTTCAGAGCGCCCTTGCAGTTCCGCACGACCGCGTTTGTGATACTGTCGACACTGAAAGTATCCGGATGTAGAGTGAAAGATCCCGACGACAATTTGGAATAGTCGAGGACGTCATTGATGACTTGGAGTAGGACGTTGGTCGAATCTTCGATGATAGAAGAATATTCGCGCTGCTGTTCGTTCATTTCCGTGGCCATCAGCGATGTGAGGGCTAAAAGCATGCCGTTCATTGGCGTGCGAATCTCATGACTCATGTTGGCAAGAAAATCAGTCTTCAACCTCGATGACTCTTCAAAGGCCGCGATCATGCGGGCTTCGGCTGCATTGCGTTCCGTCAAGTCACGGGTGACCTTGGTGAAGCCAATATGGCGGCCCAGAGCGTACATAGGAGTGATCAACACGTTGGCCCAAAACCTAGAACCATCCTTGCGGTACCGCCAGCCTTCGTCCTCCACTTTGCCCTCCCGAAGACATACCTCCAGTTCTTTGCCGGGCTTATCCGCCATGCGATCCTCCAGGCTATAGAAGGTGGAAAAGTGACGTCCGATGATCTCCTTGGCTGAGTACCCTTTCAGCAGGGCTGCTCCCGTGTTCCAAGTTACAATATGGCCATGTGTGTCGAGCATGAAGATGGCATAGTCCTTGACTGTGTCAAGCAGGACCTTGTAGGTCTCATTGGAGTAAGACCCAAGGGATTTGGACACTGATTTAACCTGACGCTTGGTGATATCAAGTGCCTCCAGGACAATGTATAACAGATTAGAGTTTTCCAAAATGGGGGTAATGCGAAGAGTATAGCAAGCGCTGGCATCATCTATACAAATTTTGTCGATCGACTGGACGTCCTGCGTCGTGATGGCGGCGCGCAATGCGCCAAACAGAGTAGCAATATCTATGGCCGGCAGTATGCGTGGACAGACGTCACAGATGAACCGGCCGAGTAACAGCTCCCTCGATAGCCCGGCGAACGCCACGTGGGAATTAGAAACCTCCACGACATGTAATGAAGGATCAAGAATGACGCTGGGAATGGGGGTATAGCGATATATTCGACCTAGACCCGCTGGAGGTTGCTGCACATCGGTATCGGGCATGTTCTTTTCACGGGGATGCGGCTTGTCATGCTCGTGAGGAGATTGCTTCGACCGGACCTTAAGTTCAAGATGATTCACCTCGTCATCATCCTCATCGTCCGGTGGCGTGGTTACCATGGAGAAGTTGAGGGGTTGAGGTTGGGGCTTATTCTCGATATCGAGATGGAACAGGCGTTTATTGAGATCCATGGCCACCACATTTGGCGATGAAGAATGTTGCTTTACTCGATCTTGAGATGGCGGGGAAAGAGAACTTGCAACATCAGATGCGGTCAGGTGGGAATAGGGCATGGATTTTCTGTAGAGGAAATAGAGGAGAGGGGAGGAGGGGAGGGAAGTAGAGAAAGGTGAAGGGAGAAAAGATGTAAGGAAAAAGGAAATATGACAGAGTGATGAGAATCCGGAAGGGGTAAAGGCAAGAAGAAGAAGAAGAGAAGAATAGAAGGAGAATGAACAAGACGTTGACCTAGGATTGGGGATGGGGATGGTATGGTATGGTTTTGGGTGTGGCTTTTTCTGGGGTGGAGGAAAGGCAGAGAGGGAGTAGGATGCGGTGGTGGTTTTACTTCACTTTACCTTTACTGTATGGATGATGGTGTCAGATGGGCAGTGGGAGGCCCACCGGGATGGGACGAGGCGCACCATCGACGTCAACAGGGAGGGAGCAGAGGATGGGATGGACCAACCAGTGGACGGAAGGTTGGGCCGGTTGTCGCGGGGGGAAAGACAAGCTGTGCTCTCACTGGCCACTGCGATCAGCCGCCAGCCCGTGGATCCTTTTAGCAGCAGCAAAAGAGGAGCCAGAAATGGATGAAGAAGAATGGGAGAGGCTGACTTGAAACTGTAAATCAAAAAACAATAATAAAATTAAAAATTGAAAAAAAAAAAGCTGGGAAAATTGCCGTCTTCTCCCCTTGTGCCTTTCCCGGGAGATGCGCCTCATTATGCTCCTCTTGTTTTTCTGTCCCCATTCGTTGGGGTTTAATTACGCCCTCCACCATCTCCGGTAGAGACAAGAACAGAGGTAGAGGGAGACACTGACACACACACAGAGACAGAGACAAGCAAGTCTAGAAGGTTAAGACAGGATGGAAAATTCTGCGCTCGTTCAAGATTCCGGTTTCAGGGTCTGGAATGCCTGGGTCTTGACCAAGGCAGCGCCCGCTCTTAGCTCTTTTTTCTACCACTAGGCGCCCATTGTTGGTGTACTTTTGTGTTTGTGATTTGCTTCTGGAGGGCTGACCTCATACCATCTGCCCGAATGTTGATTTGAGGATGCAAAGATGTTTTTGGGAAGCGGGAACGAACCTGCGAGAATCTCAATCCGCAGCAGACCGCTAAACTACTTACATCCTACTATTAGTAGTCAGTTCAATAGATACTGCTCCGTATACACGGACGACTTCCGGCTGGAGAAATTCCCCTTGCAGTGTGGCGTCTAGCAAGTAGAGAAAGTAAGCAAGTAACTAGATAAGTAGTATGTCATCGGTCGGGAGATTGGAATTAATTAGCTACTAGTTACTTTGTTTGTATGTTCTGTAGTCTTAGTTCACGTCTTATTTACCTGTCTATAGGTAGTCAGCAAAAGGAATCGTGCAGAACTTCCATAATAGAAGAACTTATGATTTTAGTATCTAGGCAATCTCTGTCAACCTCACTAGTCCACTGATCATGCAACCCAGCCGGCGCCTTTTAATCTATGTCAGACTCACCTACTACACTCCCCGCTGCCTTTCGTTCGGCTTCAGTGGCTGCTGCAATGCATCGGGATCAGCGACCGGGAAGACCCGCCGAGAGAAAAGCAGAAAAGGGCAGTTTGAAAAGTACATCGTTTGCTTGACAAAGAACACAGAGCTTGATGCATGCATGCATGCATGCATCGCGCACACACACAGTGCCTGATATTAAGTCCGGACGGTCGACCTCCAATCCGGGATCGGTCGCTATAGCAGGTTTCACCAAGCTTATCGTCCCCTAACCTGAATCTTGTTCCAACTTCCAAGGGACGAGTAGAACTTGCAATCCCGGATCAAATCCCGCAGACATTTTAGTACGGCACTTCGTAGTGGGTAACTAGTATGCTATTATTGTCCCGATCTAAAGACAATGCTTTGGTCTGTGATTCAGAGTGACACATGACCGACCCAGTTTTCTCCCATCTGCTACAATGGACTTTGATCGGGCTTCATGAGCTCGATAACGCACACTAACCGTACTAGTTCAATGCCATCATGTGTACATTGCAGGCAGTTGTCATATTGCCAACATACCCTGATGTCATCCTATGCCTATTAAGAGAAAGTCTCCCTGTGCGCCCGGTGGCAACAACAATAAGCAGTCAGAAACCGAAGCCTCCCACGGTTATTATCTATACTAAAATCTACACAGTACACAGTACATGGTCTTCCTAGTACTGGATTGTTACTGCCTAAGTCCAGACTCCACAAAATGTTCATTAAATCATTCCAAAACTCCCGATCCGTTAATTTCCAAGGATTGGAGGCTTGCTGGCACCCACTGCTCCAGTATGTAAGGGACGGTGAACACTGTCTGTGTTGCATGGACGAACTTCGGACCGAGAGACTTCCGTCTAAAGGAAAGATCTCGGTCTTCCGCTCGGCCCAGTTAGTCTTCACTGCTCAGCATTGTACACAGAAGTGTGTTGTGATAGTACCGTATCACAACTATACGGGACATTGACATTGTCGTGTCTTGCATCGGACAAGGGGGCTTTATACATGCCTAATCATTGCCAATGCTCAATGTGCTCAATTGGAGCCGATGGTGGCGCAGAACTCAGCCAGGACCACCAGTTGCACATCCACCACAATGATGAACAAATCTGACAATGGCGTTCATGCAAGCTGCATCGCTATCACACTCCGATCCTGATCAGATCATCCCCCTCTATCTATGCTAAATGCTAAGAGTAGAATAGAGATAAAGTATGGGCGACCATCTGTCCCATCTTATAGGACCCAAGATCCGGGTGGCACTGGATAACCGCAATAGTTGGTGGAGAAGGAAGTGGAGCCGGCGTGGCCGAATTCTTTGTGATTGTGCGAGAGATGGCCATCCCGGACGCCTGGAACCAGCCATGATGGGCTTCGAGTCACCAAACAGACTTTTTCCCCTTTCTTTTTGGGCGGCGCGAGGGTACGTCAGTGCCTAGTGGGAAAGCCTGTCTTCTCACCGTCCCCTCGCTCGCCCCAGAAAGAACTCCAGCAGGGGAGTTTATCCCAACTTCATCCTCATCTTTATAGCCTCCAGGCGTCCTATCCACCCAGGAGAGCCATTTGAACAGCCCATCTCCAGAATTACCGTCTTTGGCAAGCTAGGGTGCCTCTTAGTGTCGGGCCAGGCCGATGACAAGCTTGCTGGTCGTTGGTTGATTGCAGCGGCGCACTCCACCGTCTTTGCGGCCGATGCTCTCCGGACCAGCCAGAGCCCCTATCTGCTAATTATCCCACGCATCATCCGAGCCGGTCTCGCCGGGGTGCTGTTCCATCCCAGCTTCTAGACGCTTAGCTTGTCTCTCCCACCAGCGCATCTTGATTAATCCGGGGATCCTTTAGAAGAGGAGAAGGAGGGGATGATGGGGCTGCAGGACACGATGACCGATGAGAAGAAGTCATCGACGATCCAGGTGGGCTAGACCCATATTTCCTTGTCATTCTACACACCATCCATGGCCTACTACTATCTACATCTTCACTATCTTGATCGTGACTGGTTTCATCTCAAATTGGCCCGACTGCTTGCCATCTTCCCCGGAATCCCCTCACGTGGTGTCCCCATCTATATCGTCCGAATTACCCCCACCTGCATCGTGCATTTACTTTTACGTGAGACATCATCACATCTGACACATCCACCATCTACCGTTATTGGCTCTCATCTCTTTCCCGGAATCTGCATTGCTGATGATCGTTCTTCGTGCTTTGTCTAGGAGCCGTCATTGAATGGGACTAGCGATGCCTCCAGCATCCTCAGCGACTCTCGCGCTCAGGACATCCTACCCTATGAAGCCGACGATTCCCCATTTCCCGAAGTGCGCGCGGTCGTCAAGCCGGTTGACGACCGCCTGCTCCCGGTTAATACTGTTCGCATGTGGGTGATTGGCATGGTCTTCACAATTGTATGTTTTCTCCCTCCGACCGTGATGCTGCTGCAAATTGGAGAAGTAAATCGCTCATCAGTTATAGGTCGGAAGTGGCTTGAACCAATTCTTTAGTCTGAGACAACCCAGTGTGACTATCAGTGCTCTCGTTGCCCAGCTCCTAGCATTTCCGGTCGGATGTGCGTGGGCGCAATGGGTGCCCCTGGGCTGGTTCAACCCGGACCGCCATTTCAACATCAAAGAACATGCCCTGATCACCATTATGTCCAACGTCTCTTTCGGGTCGGCAGCTGCCACTCAAGTGATCGAGGCCATGGTTAAGTTCTACGATATGCCTTCTCATGGAGGATTCGAGATCTTATTGATGATTACTACGCAACTGTTTGGATTTGGTCTGGCGGGGATGGCCGCACGCTGGCTCGTGGGTCCGGCCACTATGATCTGGCCGCAAGTCTTGTCGAACGCTGCTTTGCTTTCGACCCTGCATTCGCGCCAGAATCTGATGGCAGATGGCTGGATAATTAGCCGACTTCGGTTCTTCATGATTGTATTCGTGGCTGGGGCAATCTGGTACTTCGCTCCAGGCTACCTTTTCACCGCACTAAGTACATTCAGTTTCATCTGCTGGATCGTACCGGACAATGTGGTGGTCAACCAGCTCTTTGGCCAAAAGACAGGGTTGGGCATGTCCTTGTTGACCTTCGACTGGGCACAGGTTGTCTACGCCAACCAGAGTCCCCTGTTAGTCCCATTCTGGGCAGGCCTTAACGTTATCGGTTCGTTTGTGCTCTTCTACTGGATCATTTGTCCGATTATCTATTATACCAACACGTGGTATTCGGCCTACCTTCCTCTGCTGAACCCAGATACGTTCGACAATACGGGCAAGCCATATAATACAAGTCGCGTAATGAACACAGACGGAACATTCAATGTGGAGGCATACCGCAACTACTCGCCCATGTTTCTCCCGGCCGGGTATGCCATGACGTATAGTGTGGCTTTTGCGAATCTGACGGGCATCTTCGTCCACGTCGCACTGTATCACGGGAAAGATCTAGTTGAGCAATGGAAGGGCAGGAACGCGAAAGATGTTCATGCCCGGATCATGGACACCTATGAGAGTGTGCCGTGGTGGTGGTTTGGCGGCATCACAGTTGTAATGTTTGCGCTGAGCATTGTGGCCAACGAAGTCTGGCGTACGGACCTCCCGGCGTGGGCGGTTCTTCTGGCATATTTGCTACCCATTATATACATCATCCCCGTTGGTATCATCAAGGCGATCACCAATATATCCAGCAACCAACTAAATTTGATTACCGAATTCATCGGTGGCTATGCTTTTCTAGGACGACCAGTCGCAAACATGGCGTTCAAGTTTTACGGCTATGCGGGCGTGTCGCAGGGACTCGAGTAAGTGTTCGCATGGTCTGCAGGGAGATAAAGAGCTGACCGATGTCTAGATTTGTGGCCGACATGAAACTGGCGCACTATCTCCATATTGCGCCACGAACGCTGTTTGTCGCGCAGGGAATGGCCACATTGGTCGGTGCCGTTGTGCAGTGCGGTGTGACTGTATTCATGATCACTCGGATCCGCGGGGTCTGCACCCCTGAGGCTGAGGGGGGCTTTACCTGCCCTCATGGCCAGGTAACTTACTCGTCATCCTTGATCTGGGGTAAGTGTCGGCCCGACCACTAAACTTCGTGGCTTTTCCGGTTAAACTTTTGTCTAGGTGTTCTCGGTCCCGATCGAAACTTCAGTCCCGGCCAGATGTACGGGAATCTGCTTTGGTTCTTCCTTGTTGGACCCGCCGTCGTGGTGATCACATGGCTCCTGGGCCGCCGGTGGAAGAAGGTCAACTATCTTTCTTGGCCCGTTGCATTTGGTGCCATGAGCCTCGTCCCTCCTGCGACGGGAATCAACTTTTCGTCGTGGTGGTTGGTCAATGTGATCTTCAATGGGGTTATCAAACGGCGCAAGCCTGCCTGGTGGTCAAAGTATAGTAAGTGATTCTTGATCAGACTTGCTCGCGGCCAGTTGCTAATAGAGTTGCTGTAGACTATGTGCTCTCTGCCGCACTCGACTCCGGGGTTGCCGTGTCGACCGTCATTATATTCTTCTGCATTATTTTACCAGCTGGGTCGTTGAAGTGGTGGGGCAACACCGTGTATAAGAATACAGCCGATGCACACGGTGTGCCATATAACAGACTTCCAGATTCGGGATATTTTGGACCTGCAATGGGGACCTGGCAATAACCGATGAGGGCTTGAGGCGTTTTGGTTGATTCCAATTTAACGGTCTGATTTCGGTCGGCATATATTCTATCATATATAAATCTAGAAATAATGTATTAATTAATTTTAA